TTTTTAATTTTTTGGCAATGGAAATAAATTCTAAGAATAATGCAAAAAAATATTTTCTTTTAATTGACAATTTCTATGTAAAACAAAGCAAAACGAATATCAAAAGATAGATGATTATCTTGAATTTTTTTTTTGGGTTGACAATGGAAACAAATTTCATCTTCAATACCAGTAAAATCTATCCCTTTAATTGATAATTTTCATGTAAAATAAAATCAAACGAGCATAAAAAATACTTTTATTTCAATATTTTTCACTTAAAAAATTATACCAATCAAATACAATAATTTACAATTCTCAAAAAAAATAATTTCTAAACAATTCAATTCCTTAAATTCTTTTTCAATTCAATTCAATTCAATATTTTCAATCAAATTGAACCTTATAATTTAATGGGGGCTAGTTCACTATGAAGACCGATTTGTCAGTAACCTGACGTGGAAAGGTCAAAACTGGTCTGCCTTTTACATTTCAAGAAACAGTAGACAAAAATATATTTCTCCTCGTCCCCATCAAAAGCCTTAATCCTTGACCTGTGTGCTCTACGCACTTTTGCGTATTCTAGTTTCTCTCTCTAGAAACTCCCAAAATCTCCGTTGACTGAAGTAATAAAACCTCCCATCCACCCGTATAAATAAAACGGGTAGTGAGCTTTTCCGGCGTACGTATTAGTTGATTTTCTCAAAAGTGTCTTTGAGTCTGCCTTTGGTGGTATCGAAAGTCTTCAATGGGAAATTAGGGTTGTAAAGGTCAGATTTGCTGATTTGGAGTTATTTTTTTCTTAATTTTGTAGTCGGTGTTGAAAAGTTTGGTGCATCTGGAACCTAGGGTTACAGCTCAAGCAATATTTTAGTCTGTGTTTACTTGGAGATTGAATGGAATGGATGATTGGGATGAGTAGTTTGAAGGTTTTCTTTGATTTTTCAAAATGTTGTGGTAGTTTAGTCGAATTTCGTTGAAGTAATGATATTTATAACAGAGAAAATTGTGCAAAAGTCATGGTTTTTGTTGAATCTTTTTGATGTTCTGTATATTTGATTGCGCAGAGTTAGTTATTTTTGAAGTTTAAGAATATGAAGAGATTGAGGTCAAGTGATGATCTTGACCCATATGGGGATAAGGGTGTTATTAAAGATTGGGGAAGAAGGGAGGAGGATCTGGGTTTCAACCGATCTTCTTCTTCTCATAGGAGCTCTTATTACAAGTCTTCTGAGAGTGGGAGAAAGGGTTTGTCTTCATCATCATCTAGGTATGATCGGTTAGAAGATGATTGGGACAGTTCAAGATCGGTCAGAAAATGGTCAAATTATGACATGGACGGTTATGATAGAAGGAAGAGCTATGATCGGCATAGAGAGGGGAATGAGAGAGGGATTTTGAGTTCTTCGCCTCGGGTTGGGTACGGCATGGATCGGATTCATCGATCTGAAAGCTTTTCAGGACCTAGGAGGGAGTTTCCAAAAGGGTTTAGGTCAGAGAGTAAAAGGTCAAGGAGGGAGGGGAGTGTTTCATCATGGCGAAGGTTTAGTGTGGAGAAAGATGGAGATGAAGGAAACAGAAGTAGTGGTAGTGAGTTAGCCAGAGGAAATAGAGTGGAGTTAGAGGATGTTGGTAAGGTGAAATCCCCCAAGGGACCGAGAGATGCAAAGTCTCCTGCTTGTTCGAAGGATTCTGTCAGCGATCAGTCAAAGAGTTTTGAAGTAAAAAGAAGTGAATATATGCCAGTGGATAGTGGCGCCCCTAGCAGTGAAAGGGAAGAGGGGGAGCTGGAACTGGACGCTGAACCCGTGCATTTTCCTATGCAAGCTGCTGGTAAATTGAAATCCTCTCAGATGGAGCTCCATCATGAACATTACAATCAGAACAAAGTTTTGCAGCAAAAAGAAAATTCCTCACCTTTAGAAATGGGAGGTACGAGTAAAGTGGGTAGTCATGAGGAGCCAACAGAAGTTGGAACATTGGAAGATGTTCAAGACATAACAAATAAAGTTAACGAATTGCCAGATGATAAGAATAGTTCACTTCTGGGGATAAGCAGAAGTGCAGATGAAAATGAGGCTACAAGAGATAATTGTAGAGGTGATGATGAAGAGGAGGCTAGAATAGAAAGCCATGGCAAGGAGGATGCAGACGCTACAATTGCTGAAAAGCCAAAAATTGTACAAAAGGAACAAGGGGAAGATAAAGGTACTGATCATGAAGATAAGGCAGCTGGTGCTGATATGTCAAATGTAAACAAGGGGTTTGCTGAAGAAATTGAAGTGCCCTTGAAAGAGAAAACAACCCAACATTTGAAGGATAAGGGCAAAAATATTGCTGTCTCGCCCTCAAACAGCACTCACATATTGGAAAACTTTTTGGAGATTGAAAACAAATCAAAGGGCCTCATAACATTCGAAAACAGTGGTTTTGAAGGACCGAGTACCAGAGGATTTGAATTTTTCTCCAATGATCCAGTTAAGAAGCAAGAGAAAGTCGAGCAGTCACCTCAGAACACGCATAAAGATGAAAAACTTGCTCTTGACCTTTCTCTCAGCTTGCCAAATGTTTTATTGCCTATCAGTGCTCGAAATAGAGGCCAGGACGCTGGTTCTCCTAGTCATGCAAGGAGTGCTCAATCCTTTCCTAGCACATTTCACACAAATTCTGATGGATATACTGCATCAGTGTCTTTTTCTGGTTCTCAGCAGTTCACTCACAACCCTAGCTGTTCACTGACTTACGATGCATATGATTATGAGAAATCTGTTGGTAGTCGGCCCATATTTCAGGGAGTGGATTGGAACGCTCCGTCTTCAGATGACCATAAGAACAAAGAAATTCCAATATATCAAGGCACTTCTATTGGAAATAGCCTGCATCATCAGTTCCAAGCATCTCAAGGAAATTCAAGTGGACAACCTGTGTTACAACATCTAAGAGTTGTAGAGGGAAGTTCAAAACCAATTGGACTAGATAGGCAATTAAGTGTTAATAAACATTTATGTGGAGCACAATCTCAGCAACTAAATGACATTAGATCTCCTTCGCAGAGTATTGGATCTCATGGAAATGGACCTGGATATAGCAAAGACAGGAGACCAGTGATGGAAGATAGAGATAATGCTAGTTTACATAGGACCAGTAATCCAGAGGGAAAAAAGCAGGCACTGGTGGTTGGAGCTGACTTTGCTGAGTCTATAGTTACTATGATAGTTGCTGAGCCACTCCATGTGATGGCCCAGAAATTTAATGAAATGACTGAACAACACGTGACATGTGTGAAGGAGTTTATTCGTGAAATCATTTTAAATCCAGGTAAGCACTGGCAGTTGCGTGCTTTGCAGAAAGCATTGAGAAACAGACAAGATATTACCCTGGACATGCTAGTGAAGTCGTCAGTTAGTCAATTGGAAATCTTGGTGGCTCTAAAAACCGGTCTCCAGGAATTTCTTCAGCAAAATTACAACGTACAATCTTCTGATTTGGCTGAGATATTTCTAAATTTAAGATGTAGGAATCTTACTTGCCGGAGTCTTGTGCCTGTGGATGAATGTGATTGCAAAATATGCACACAGAAGAATGGTTTTTGCAGGGAGTGCATGTGCCTCGTGTGTTCGAAGTTTGACATGGCATCGAACACGTGCAGTTGGGTTGGATGTGATGTATGTTTACATTGGTGTCATGCTGATTGTGGATTACGGGAATCCTATATTAGAAATGGGCATAGTGCAGCTGGTGCTCAAGGCACTACAGAAATGCAATTTCACTGTGTTGCCTGTGATCATCCTTCTGAGATGTTTGGCTTTGTGAAGGAAGTTTTCCAGAACTATGTCAAAGAATGGACAGCAGAAACACTTTCCAGAGAACTTGAATATGTAAGAAGAATATTCTCTGCCAGTGAGGATTCGAGAGGGAAGCAACTACATGAGATTGCCAGTCAGATGCTATCTAAATTGGCAAATAGAGCCTACATTCAAGAGGTGCAGAACCATATTCTGGGTTTCCTTAATGGTAAGCACTCAATGCCTATCAATCAGTTTTCATATGTTAATTTATACAAAAAGGAGATTCCTTATTTTGGCACATCACATACATTATTAATTTCCAATATCCATATAAAATTAGAGCTATAGTAACATACTCCTAACTTTGAATTTGTTTCAGATTTTTGGAAAATTCTTTCTAGATTTATTGGTTTCTGTGTTGGTTATTGTACTTGTATCTAATATGCACATGCAAGTTACACTATGCTTCAACACTGCTTCTACTTCTGCTTCTTGTAGAAGAGTTTCATGAGGAAGTTGCCCTGGAAGCTACCTCTAAAAGCTCTTCTAGTCAAACAAAGCACGTCTAGAAAATTATTCGAGCAGATCCGAAAGTAGCTTTTTAGTCACATAAAACGCTTTTGGCTTTTCAAAACCCTGCCAAATGGGCCCTATATAACTTTCTGGTGTTTGAATGGTTGACTCCTTTATTTCAATGCTCTTACAAGTGGTCTTATCATGCTTTGAAATTTATGCTGTAGAGGGATAATCCATTTGTAGCTTGTATGTCATTTTAATATTTCAATAGCTGCCTTTCTTTTTTCTACATACAAGAATATCACTAGGTACTAAGTAACTGCTACATTTTTACCACTTGTTCTGCCGTCTTACTTGTTAAGCTGGTTAGATAAAAATAACTCGTAATATTAACCTTGGAAATTCTTGTTGTGAGGTAGTTAATATTTTTTGCTGCTGCTGTTGCTTGCATAAGATATATGGGCTATCTTTTTGTAGTGTCCTCTCACATGATAATTAATTGTTAACCCCCTTGGTATAGTGATCTTAGATAAGTGAAGTAGGGGTGTAATAATATGGTGTACGCATACTTACGCCATCTTTACATGTGAAGGTAGAGTAAAATACAGTGCAGTACCATTTAATTAGTTGGGAATAATTATCAATTTTAACGAGGGGAACATCTAATTCGCCTTTGGAAATTATTCTTTTGGTGCTGCTGGTTACCTTTATTTTTTATGGGACTCCTTAGCAATTGTAATTTTTGGCGACTTTTGGTTAGTGTATTTATTAACCTTTGGAAGTTCATGCAACTATAAATTACTCTCAAGACTTTTCAGTGTAAGGCTTTTTGTAATGAGAAAATGGGCGTGTTGGTGGTGTGAGAGGATACCGAAAAATTATGCGTTAGATGAGGACACGCATTCAATAAATTAATTTGGTTAAAATTACTTCAAATTAATTTTTAAAAATTATAAAATTTCTTAAATTTGTTAGTCTGACTGTAAAATTATATTAAATATTTTTTGCTTTTAAATTGCGTAAAAAATTTATATAGCCTGATATGTTAATATATCTTTCGTAAGTTTTCAAATTAATAAATAATTAAATAAACATTTTTATATTTTAATTTTTAAACATAACTATATTTTTTATAAAATATATATCATTCATTAGTTGGTGATTATTCTCTGCTTGTGTGTGGCACATTGTATTTGAAAATCACTTTTTTCTCAAAAATAATTTCAATTATACATTCTTCAATAAAATAGTTTTGCACGTGGATCTATAACTTTTCATAATAGTTTTGCACGTGGATCTATAACTTTTCATGTTTTTTTACCTCATATTCAAAAAAATAATAATTTTCACTCCAAATAATGTCTTCCAAACAAACACTTAATTTCATCTAAATGTGAACTGGAAAGGTTAAAACCAGACTAAACATGTTGGTTCGACTGAACAAATTGGGATCGGACTAAAAACGGTCCAGTCTGATTTTTATGACATAGATTTTTCTCTATCAACTAATGAATGATAAATTTTTATTAGTAAATATGACTATGTAAAAAAATTCAAACATGAAAAAGTTCATTTATTTATTTAAAAACTTACTAATATATATATGTAACCAGATTAATTTATTGAATGCATGGCTTTGTTTAATTCATAAATTTTCAATATCCTCCCGCACCCTAACATACCCATTTTCTCTTTAAGAAAAGTTTTCAAAAGGTTAATAAGCCCTTGTTTGTCAACCATTCTCCCACATTCTACTACATTATTTTTTCTACAGTACTCATTTTCAACAACACATTCTCCATTAAAATAATGTTACACATATATAAAAACATTTTCTTCTTTTTTAACCGTACATTTCAACATCAATCACTATTCCATACTCCAATTTTTGAAATTAAAGGGCCACAAACAGGGCCTAAATGCGCACTGCTATCAAAAGTCATCAAAAATTATAATTGCTGCGGAATCCCATTTAAATAAAGGTAACCTGCACGGAAAGAATTATTTCAAAGGCACCTTTCATTAAAAGTGATTGATTGTTCCACATGTTAACAATTGCTAATTTGTCTATTTTACTCTACCTTCACAAGTAAAGCCTATAGTTTTGCAGACAGCGTAAATATGTACTCCTCCTTCACTCTTCTCCCTCTCGTGATAATTATCTTGTTAACTCTCTTAACTGAACAGATAATCAATTGTTAACACCACCACCACTGCTCTGGAAGAAAAAATGTAAAATAAACATAAATAAATGAACGGAAAGAAAAGAGATGGGAAAAGGATGAGTTGGTAATTACTCGTCAGTATTAGCCGTTGAGTAGTTATTGATAAAATAAGTGCCACAGTGATAATGTTCAATTCTCTCTCTCTTTCTGGCTTGGATAATCTCTGTGACTCTGTTGTTCTTCCGCTGCATAGTGTGAATAATGTCTTCAATTGCAGAATCTGATTTGTTCAAGCCTGGCTTCATTTCCACCGAATCTAGGAAAGATTTGTCGACAAAAAATAAGGGTGGCAGTAATGGTAATGCTGGGTCCAGCCAAGGACCTATGTGGCTAAAATCTGTTTCTTCAGAAAAGGCTCCTCGATTGGAAAAATCTGTTAGTTTACTTTCCAGTTTTGATGGCAATAGGGGTGATAAATACAAAATGAAAATGGATCTACAAACTGAGAAGGAACCCGTATATGATGAATTGGAGAGCATTGTGAGAATTAAGCAGGCAGAAGCTAAGATGTTTCAAGCACGTGCTGATGATGCAAGAAGAGAAGCTGAAGCTCTAAAGTGCATTGCAGTAACGAAAAATGGAATGATTGAAGAAGAATATACGACCCGAATTGCAAAACTGCGATTGGCTGAGGCGGATGAGATGTGTAAACAAAAAGTGGATGAGCTCCAGGGCCTTGAAAGAGCATATCAGGAATACTTCAATATGAAAATGAGGATGGAAACGGATATCAAAGACCTTTTGCTGAAAATGGAAGCTACACGAAGGAATCTCAAGATGTGATCCATAAACGGAGTATTTTCCTAGTTAAAATTTCACCGGGCTTTTTTGTCCCTTGCTGTATTTTTAGTGCTGCACTTATTGTTAGTTGATTTGTGGGTGACTTCCAGTTTCATGCTCCAAGTGCTAACCAGATTATGTACAGAGTTGCCAAACTCTATATGTTTTTCAAAGAGCACTTAGATATGGACTGGGGTGGGATGAAGAAATTGAAGACCCAAGTTTTTTATCACCTGACTGTTGCCGTCATAGCTATTTAAATCTTCTTTCCATGTTCCTTCGTGTTTTTCGGGATAGCTTTACAGGATCTTCTCATGCAGGGAAACAAGGTCAAAATGATCCATCTCATTAAACGTATATGATGTTATGAACTTGAAATAAGCCCCTAGTACAAGGGAGATTGTTAGGGCAGTGTATAGGGGCTGAGACTGCAGCTCCAGATTGGATGTTTTAAGTTTGTTTTTGGGGCAAACTTCGAAGAAATGTTGCCATCTGGCAACATGTAACTTTGTTTGGCAAATCTGTTTGTACACATAGCATAGTTGTAAGGCAAATCTGTTTGTACACACAGCATAGTTGTATGAACTTACGCCACTTTCCTTTATCAGAACTCTGAAAACAAGTTGTAGCGTTCTTTTATCAGAAGTGAAGAAAGACCTATCTAAAATTTCTGTAAAAAAATTGGTTCTGATATATTATGATCTAGAAATGTTCGTGTCCTAATCTTTTCTGGTCTCTCACGAATCCTCAGTACAGCTATATAGAATATGAGTTTGCCACTCAAATTCTTTAGCAGCCTGGACTCTAGTGCCCACAATTTATGTCGGTCATCTTTGAGATATTGGATGACTTTTCCCTTTTTATTTTTGTTCTTAACAATTCAAGAATCCTTTTATGTTCAATTCTATGCGTTTCACTATCCGTAGAGTATATTGAACGTATAGAAATGACTACAACAGAGTTTTTCTTATTCATATTAACAGCTACTCTAGGAGCATGTCGGGCTTGAGCAAGGCCATCATGGTCCAAGTGAGTCCTGACATCCCTTTTATTGTTTTGTATAAGTAGAGGTAAAAAACAAGGGCTAGACAATTATGCTGGACTGAGTGTTGGAGTGGATAAAAACTTCTTATTACGGAAAAGGCTGATAATTATACAGATATAGGTAGAATATAGTAAAAAGAAATTGCTACCCAGAAAACAATACAGAAACAAAAACAAATAAACAAGAAATGGAGGCAAAATGTTACAGTGAGATCTTATTTTTCAGCTTCCAGATATTCTACAAACGAAGTTATATCTATGGCAACAGTCGGGCTCTAAGAAAGTGCCAAGGCCCGGTTCCAGTTCCCATCCTGCAAATAGGCAACCAAAAATTTAAACAAATTTTTTCAAATCAATTCGAAGTTTTGAATGCTATTTCATTTGAAGTTTCTGATTAATCTGCTATAGAAGATAATAATTTATATTGATGATTGTTTATTTGCATGGCAAGTTGGATAATTACCTCCAAACACCAGCAAATGCTCTCAATCCCATATAAATTGTTAAAGCAAACCATATTCCAATGAAACCATTAGTTTTGGAGAGGAAAAACAGGAATCCAATGCTTACTGCTGACACTAGTACCTGAAAATGGAAGATTATAATTGGAAACTTGCTTATTTTATACTTAGAAAATTACAAAATTAACTAGGGCATTTTCTACTAAAATTTGGTTCAGCTAAATGAATCCTTTTTCGCTCTCTCTTCAGTTCATTGTCAAATATTAGTGAAGATTTAACTCAAATAGATTCTTAACAACTATCACATTCTACTGTGAGAAGGATTCAATCTATGTAGACAAGAGGTGATAAATTTACCATGGAATATGCAGAATATGCAAAATCAGATGCTCCAAAATTAACACCATCAAAAACAAATGCCAATGAATTTATTGGCTGTGTAGCTGCAACAAACTGATGATAAAACAGAGGTTAAAATATAGAAATGTAAGCATCATATTTAACTTCAGCCAGTGTATGAGGAGATACCGGGATGCCTATAGATATCATGTGAATAACACTTTTGTCATTCGAAAAAATTCCAGATCCAAATTGCAAACCAAGTCCCACAAAAAGAGCAAGTCCAATTCCCAGTACAAATCCCATCTGCATGAGAGGGGACACATCTCAGTGTAGGTAAATATTTTTCCTTTTAAGAATTCGTGTACTTTACATTTGTGAAAATAAATTATAGTTATCCCTTTCTTAGGAATGGGAGAATGACAAATTGCTCGTCAAATCCACTATCCATTTTAGGTCAAGCAATAGATGAAGTAACTATTGATACAACAGAAAAGAAACTCTATATACCAATATAGCATTAGCTTAGCTTGTTGTGGTAATCTTTGCACGAAAAAGGTCATTTTTCTCGTGAAAATTTGGAAAATCGAATATTTTACAATTCTTGATCAGCCAATACTATAATCTCTACAACATGGAGGAGAATATATGCTATTTGGATGAAATCTACCTGTAGTACTCGGGATGCAGCTGCTGCTGCTTTCTGATAGTCTTTCTCAGCAAATGCACAAGCAAGGATAGCCTGGAAGAGTGGCAAACAGATAAAAGTCTGATAGAGTCAACCAACTATACAGGAAAACAATGAACGAAAAGCTGATGAAACTACTCGAATTCATTTTCAAAGACCCATAACAAGGTTTAGGTCTTCAAGAAAATATCAATATTTGAAGAATATGATTTCTAACTCCGCGTCTGTTTTCTGTAGTCCATTCCAAGGAGGAGGGTTGCGATAGTTTGAAAGCCAACGTAAAAATATGTCAAATATTTTGACAGAAATCCTAACTTCTATTTCATATATGGGTTTTCATCCAACTACAATTAATCTGGAGCTTAAAGACTAGAATTTGTTTTGAAAGTTACAATGAGGAGATGAAGTGTAGGCATTCTACCTTCATTAACACTACAGTTCTTATTTCCATAGAGAAAAATTGGCATGAAGTAGTTTCTCTTAATCTTAGAATTAAACCCTGATTTTGTTTGATTGCTTTAAGATTTTCCTTCTTCAAACGATTCAATACGGAGAGAACATTCAGCAGTTTCTGAAAAAGCTGTTACCTGTCCCGCAACAGCCAAACCATCAGCAAGAAGTGATGATGTCATCCAGACCTGCAAGCATATCTGGAAGGCAGCCATAGGTGTTGGACCTAGCCTTGCAGCCATTGATGCAGCCAAAGTCACACAGATGGTCACAGCTATAACTCTTGCTAGTAACAGAAAACCTGTGTCCAATCGTGTCCGATCATATAACAAAATGTCAGTGGAGCATATTCAACTGAAGTGATAAAAAACATTACTAATGGACTAACCATTCTTGAGGAATTTACTAAACTGCAAATCTCCAAGATTCGGAGATAATATATTAACTTGTTTCATCAATTTGCACAAGAGAATCACGGAGATCAAGTACCTGCAACAACCAGTTTTCACGTGAGGAAAATTTTATATTAAAGGCTCGATGAACAAACAACGATATGCTATCGGAAGAAACTATGAGAATGCAAGACAATGCTACATAATATGACACACAATAATTCAACTTGTTTTTATCCTGTAGTCCTATTGATCGATGTAGAGTCTACCTTACTAAACAGATCAAGAGTAGTGAATACAGTACGGATACAAAACTTACTGAGAAAGGACATGTGCAATGGCTGCACCGCTCACACCCATACGGCACACAAATATAAGAATTGGGTCCAAAATTATGTTTGCCAAATCTCCTGCAACTAGTAGCAGAAAAAAAAAAAAACTAGGATAAGATCGGGTGTATCTGAAGTTCAGAGGATAAATTTAAATTTTGTTTTATTATAAAACAAGAAATTAAATTTGTTTACTATGTATCTGGTAGAGGGAAATTAGCAAAGGATCTTCCATTTTTCACTTGCACGGGAAAGATTTGGCCATATTAATCAGAAGATTATAGTATTAAGGTTTCTTGTGGAATTTCTTGTAAGATGTAACAAAAATACAATCAAGGGATTCAAATCGTTTGTTAAAAAAGGTTCAAATGGTCATTCCCATTGCTTAATATGAACAAAATTCTTGTTTTGATTGAAAAGAACAAAGAATGGATGTACAAACTGATCGAAAATGTAGTTCAAACAATCAATAAGCAAATGGAATATGGAATGAAAAATGAAGATGGTGGCTGCAACATAAGCCTATGCGACCGCATGGACTATTTGGCCATGCGGCCGCATGGCCATAGTCCGAAACTGGGAGGCCAGTTTTGGTATAAACCATGCGACCGCATAAGATTACTCCATGCGGTTGCATGGTCGTATTTTAGTGACCGTTGAGGTCGATTTTGTTTTAATTCTGACGATTTTTTGGTTGAAACATTGCAGCTTTTCATAATGATTTGGCATTAATTCGTGAGGGATTGATTCAAACCTCTAAATAGGTGATGAGATGATCAATACACAATATAGAAATCATATTACAAACATATGATGAACATTCTTTCATTCCACAACATCCATATTCAAATTTCCCTAGTTTCCTTCAAGTTTTTGAGAGTCACACTAGTACTTAAGTGTTTGATTTTCTACAAGACTTGATTAATCCAACAAACCATTTGCCATGAGACCCTTTAAACACTAAAATTATATACGAGAGAGGGCAAATATCGTTTGAGGACAGCAATATAATGTCGTGTTTGAACATTCATATTTATTTAGGTTTTTTCCATTATTTTCATCTTCTTGAATTTTCATTTCTTGGTTTCTACTCCAAACCCCAGTGTGATAATTTTCCAACACAAACAAATAAAAAAAAAGAAAAAGAAAATGTAAACTTCAAGAGTAGTTGTCTTACCAGTGGCAAAAAGAGGAGTTTTAGTGTCCTTGAAACCTCGAAAGACTCCTTGCATGGCCAAAGAAAGAAGAACAGCGGGAGCCCCAAGTGATCTTAGTGTCAAATACCTCAGTGCAGGGGCTCGCATAGGAGATTCCTATTTCACCATTTCAAAAGGTGTATCCATTAAAGAACACATGAATACTCTGTGCAGGCAAATGTTTAATATTTCACTTAAGAATGCATGATGAGAAGTACTATTAAAAATAAAAGATTAACAAATGGGAAAGTTTTTATTCGGTTTAAAAAGTCAGAGAAGAGATAGAGAGACTAATGGCCTACTTGAATATTGAGATACCATATGCTTGATACTTACAGATTTTACACCCATGAAACCTAAGAGCGGTTTTGCTAGAAATATGAGGAATATGGTCTGAAGGAGTCCAAGCACACAACCAAGAAGAAGTGCAGTTGATGCAGAAGGGATATGTCTGCGTTCACTACTGAGTTTTCCTTTCTTTGGGTTGCTGCTGATAACATCCGGAGACTTACATGCAGTAGTTCTGAAATCTGCTGAAGAAAAAACACGAGTTGCTAGAAAATAATACTGATTATCTTAAAGAACTCAAACCAACGACGAACTTTAATAAATTATAATTTTGGAATCTATGTATTTATTGGTGACACCTTGAAATTTAGTTTCTACAACCATTTCAAATCCTTTTGATTCTCGGTGGAACTACAGGTAACCGGTCGGGCTGTCCAGCCTTGCTAGATGCAGCCTGGCTTGTCTGGTCTAGAGGCCCAGTACGGCCTGACAATCAGATATTTTAAATTTTTTTCTGAAAAGAAACTTAAAAAAGG